CGCTGGCTGGGCCGGGTCTCCCTGCCCTCCAGGGCTCAGGGCACCACTGCCTGACGCCCTGAGCACCAGCTTGGAGAAGTCGCACAGCCATCGCTTTGCAGAGGAAGCGGCGGGAGCTCCGTGCATCACAGCTGTGGTGATGAAAGAGCAGCAACTGCCGTGAAGTCACAGTGCCCAGAGATAAGCTCGCCCCAGAGTGCCCAGCCGCCGCCGGCTCACGGCCACCCGGCCCTCGGAGGTGGGCACCAGTGCACGGCGCGCGGCAGGGTGAGCGAGTGGCCGGCGTGCTGCTGCCGGGACGCCCCTGGTACCAGGGCCTACGGCCGGTGGGACGCGGAGATGAGCAATTCTATGGCAAACTCTGAAGTCACAGAAAAGGGAAGCAAAACCCCTCTCTCTCTATTATTAGCAGGGAGCATGAGGACGCGCGGCTGAACTTCTGCGAGGTAGGTCCCGCCGTTCTGGGTACCGGTTTCTGTTCGTGGTGTTTGCCAAGACACTGTGCTGGGCCAAGGCGGGGTGGATGAGCCACCGCGGTGACCCCGGCTGCAGACGCTCCCTGGAGCAGAGGGCGTTTGTGGCTCAGCCCCTCGGGATTCCTCACGGCCTACGGACAGCTCCGTGCTGTGCAGCCTGCTCAGAGGAGTGCAGAAGGCAGGGCAGAGGGCACCGTCAACCCCTCGGCGAGGAAGCCTTGGCTGAGAGCGCGGCAGGCTGAGAGCGCGGCAGGCTGAGAACCAGCGGCTCAGCAGGCCCAGCGCTGTGTCCACCGACGCCTTCGGCAGCTTCTGCCGCAGGATCTTGGTTTGCAGCAATGCTCTTGTTTTATACAAAATGCACCAAGACTGGCGGAGAGGCCTCACTCGGCTTTAGGTTCTTCAGTTGTCTGAAAACATTTTTATGTACACGCAAGAAATGGATGAACTGGAACAACACAAAACAAACAAACAAACAAAAAAAAAACAAGGAGAAAGAAGTGGGGGGAGGGAGCGAGCGAGCGAGCAGATGCGATTTTAATAGATCCTAAAACTCATGGCTACCAGCATGAAAAATGCCTGCTTTTACAGTGATATATTGGATGCTAGCTTTATTGAGTCACCGAGCATCTCATTAGCTGGTGCGACCTCTGCGTCCAGGAAATACGCTCTCTTTCGTAGTTCCTGGAGAAGAATTACTCTCTGACCGATTTCTTAAAGGTTTGCATGTGGAAATATAATAAAGTTTTGGAAATCAAATCAGCTCATTTGTATACATGACTCGAGGTGCTGCCTGAGGCCATTTCCAGGCAAGGCACCCCGGGCTGCCGCGCTCCGAGTGGCTGCGTGGGGCCTGCCCGCTCTGGCCTGTGTGCTGATTGGCCTTGCTCTGCACAGGGCCGGGCACCTGACCTGCTGCCACGTGAGGCGCTGGCTCTGCGGCCGAGAGCACAGACACCACGGACGTGGCCTTGGGGCCTGCTGAGCACCAGTGGACGCAAGACGATGGCCTGCAGACAGGTATGCCCGGGGCGGCGGGCCACGGGCACGTGTGACACACGTGTGTGGTGGTGGGGAGACACTCAGCTCCTGGGGTGTTGGTAGCAGGCTCCTGTCCCCGTCCATCTTCCAAGAGCCAGGGTGGCCGTGACATTTCCGCCTGGACCCGTGGAGCTTCAGGCCTTTGGCGACAAAGTCCCCAGGGCTGCATCTCGGAACTGCTGCAGACAACTCAGATGTCTGGTGGTGGTGGGACGAGCAAACTACGGCTGCGCGGCCCTTGTGTGCACGCTTTCTCGGGGCGATGCGGGGCCCCCTGCTCGACGAGCTCTTTGTGTGTTGCCGCCTGGTCTCTGCAACCCTCCTCCAGCCCCGAGAGCGTGTGGCTCGGGGGCTGCGCCACCCCGGAAGAAAGAGGAAGCTGAGCCTGTTCTTCGAAGGGGCCCGCTGGAGCGTGCATCCGCTCGGTCGCTTTTCGATTTCTGCCACTGAGGTCGGCTGTGGAACGAGGGGTCCCCACAGCTGACTCAAAAGAGCTCTGAGAGCCAGACTGCAAATCCCACTTGGGTTTAAACTGAAAGGCCCCAGGCAGAAAAAATGAGTGGGGGGAAGAAAAAAAGAGCAGAGAGTCTCTGAGCACAGCTCCAGCAGACTCCGACCCCTTCTCAAGAACACTGGGGAAATCCGTCGGCAGTGGCCGGAGGCTGACCCCAGTGTCCTGGAAACCGCTCTCAGGAAAGACGCCGTGCTCCCATGACCCCAGCCCCAGAGGACACGAGGCCCCCACGGGCTGGACCCAGAGCCTCTCGCAGAACTCCAGCTTGGCCCAATGAGCACCAACAATGAGCTCCCTGCTCCCCCCCAAGCCGAGTGTGGGTGCTGCCCGGACTGCAGGAGTAGGGACACCATCGCGTTTGCTTCCTTCCACTCAACTTGAACTTGATTTTAACAACACAATGGGCTTCAACTGGTAGCCCCAAGAGTGGCTTACGCTATCTTGAGAGAGACAGAGAGAAAGGTCTTCCTTTTTCCGTTGGTTCACCCCCCAAATGGTTGCTACGGCTGGTGCACTGCGCTGATCTGAAGGCAGGAGCCAGGTGCTTCCTCCTGGTCCCCCATGTGGGTGCAGGGCCCAAGCACTTGGGCCATCCTGCACTGCCCTCCCAGGCCACAGCAGAGAGCTGGATTGGAAGAGGAGCAACCGGGACACAATCCGGCGCCCCAACCGGGACTAGAACCTGGGGTGCCGGCGTCGCAGGTGGAGGATTAGCCAAGTGAGCTGCGGCACCGGCCTTATGCTGTCATTTTGACCTAGCAGTACGTGTTGTCACGCCAGCGAGTTAGCTCTGCTCCTGTGCAATGAAATTTGGCCTCGTGGACACCCACCAAAGGGTGCCTCCTTGGCTGAAGAGGTGTCCCCCGGAGGCCCCAGTCAGTCCTCAGCGGGAACAGGCAGAGGCGCCGGCAGCCCGGGCTGCGTACGTCAGGACACAGAGCAGCGAGGCAGGGTCCACTCGGGTCTGGAATGAGAACGTGGGGTTGAACGACGGAGCTCAGGTACTCTGAGCCTTGGGTAAAACCTGTGGGCTCCCCGGGAGTGTGGGAGTCGGAACCGCCCGGATCTGCTCCGGGGTCTCGTGCTGTCTTTCAGAGACGCTGTCTTGTTGAATGGGATCACAGAAGCATAAAACTTCTCTCTCCATTTATGGCAAAAAGAAAAATTAAGAATCAGCCAAGTTTGGGAACAATAACGTTTTCAAAAATGCAGCGTCAGTGACAGCGCTCGCTCTGCGTCCCCTCTGCGATACGCAGTCGTCTGCGTTTTTCTACTGTTTAATCGTAAAGGCTGCACAAGTGTTCATTTTTTTTTTTTTTTTGACAGGCAGAGTGGACAGTGAGAGAGAGAGACAGAGAGAAAGGTCTTCCTTTGCCGTTGGTTCACCCTCCAATGGCCGCCGCGGCCGGCGCGCTGCGGCCGGCGCACCGCGCTGATCCGATGGCAGGAACCAGGAGCCAGGTGCTTTTCCTGGTCTCCCATGGGGTGCAGGGCCCAAGCACCTGGGCCATCCTCCACTGCACTCCCTGGCCACAGCAGAGGGCTGGCCTGGAAGAGGGGCAACCGGGACAGAATCCGGCGCCCCAACCGGGACTAGAACCCGGTGTGCCGGCGCCGCTAGGCGGAGGATTAGCCTAGTGAGCCGCGGCGCCGGCCAAGTGTTCATTATTTTTACACGCAAGATTGTAATCTTCCTTTGCCACTCAGTGGAAGTCACTAGGGAAAATTAATTTTGCATTTTTCTGACCTACAATTTCTATTCACGGAAGTTATTGCAAAGTTACAGCATAGGAGACCCTTCAAAAAGCTCATGGAAAAATGTGAATTAAGAAAAACCTATGCATGGATTTCAGAATTTTCTTGCACCAAAATGACTGACTTTTTCCATGCACTTCTTGAAGCCCTCAGGGATTTGGTATCCATTCAGGAAATGCCGGCACTTGACAGCCTAGCCTCCGTGACCGGAAGCAGCCGCAGCCCTGGCTGGCATTAACCATGGTTTCTCTGTGGTCCTCGGACTGCCCTTGGTTTCATTGAATTTCTCGCTCTTGACATTAAAAACAGTATTAGAGCACCCGCGTTTGTTGCCATTATCTTTGTTTCAAAGGTTGGAGTCATCAGAGAAAAAGAAACGAGATGATTTTTATGCAAACTGGTCTAATGCTGATTAGTAATACTCAAGTTCATTTGAAAAAGGAGTTACATGACTTTTGTGTTGCTTCTTTCCTGTGCTGCGGAAATTTTGCAATTTCTAGGTTACTAGGTTACTAGTTACTAGGTTAAGCAGCAAGTTAGTTGCTTACTAAATTGGCAAAGAAATGAATTAAGACTGTTTTGTGCCGTTTTCTGTGGGTGCCTGCTTAGCTGAGGTCTCTTCCATGGTTCTGCTGGAGTCATTTTTAGAAAATATCAAGCCATTACATACATCTTCAAGCTGAAGCCTAGAGAAGTCATTTTCCTTAGAGCTAAGAATAGATTTTTCTCTTTAAAGTTTTATTTTTATTTGAAAGGCAGAGTTGCAGGGAGACAGAGAGGGAGGGAGAAAAGGAGAGGGAGAAAGGGAAAGGGAGGGAGAGGGAGGGAGAGAGAGGGAAGGAGGGAGAAAGGGAAAGGGAGAAGGAGAGGGAGGGAGGGAGGGAGGGAGAGAGGGAGAGAGGGAGAGAGGGAGAGGGAGAGAGCGGGAGAGGTCTCCATCTGCTGGTTTACTCCCCAATGGCTGCAATGGCCCAAGCTGGGCAAGGCTGAAGCCAGGAGCCAGGAGTTTTACCCAGATCTCCTAAATGGGTGCAAGGTCTCAAGCACATGGGCCATCTTCCACTGCTTTCCCAGGTGCATTAGCAGGGAGCTGGATCAGAAGTGGAGCAGCTGGGACTTGAACCTGCGCCCCTGTGGAATGCCAGCATGGCAGGCGGTGGCTTAACCTGCCCAGCACAGGCCTTGTGTTGTAGATCCAGGACTGGCTCCCGGGCAGGCGGCTTCAGAGCCCTCGGCTCCTGGTGAGGACTTCAGCTCCTGTCCCTTCCTCTGGGGGCCTGGGCGACCTCGGGCTGAAGCTCCGTTTGTGGGTGACGACCACACCTGCTGGACCCCAAGAGTCTCTCTGCGGGGGCTAGGGGGCACGCCCAGGGCGCCTTGCACATGAGCCATCCTTTGAACTTCACGGCAGAAGTGCCCTTTTTCTCCAGGGCTATGGCTTCTCAGTTCAGTGTCCTGCTCTCATTCGGGTGCATATACAAAAAATCAGTGTCTCTGGAACTCACAAAACTGTGCTTGGGATACAAACTTTCGCTCTTGGCAGGGCTCCTGGCTGTTTTAGGGGTAAGGTTCTTGTCCTGCTGCTCCTACTAAATACTCAGGGACCACAACGGAGGGCCGCAGGCTCTCCGCTTTTCTTGGCGCCCAGAACTCCTGAGCTGCCACCTGCTGCGGTCTCCTCCCCTTGCTTCCCTCTCCTGCAGCTTGGCACGGGCTCTGGGTTCAAGGCGTTCAGAGACCTCAGTGCGCCGGCTGGATCTTAACATACCTGGGACAGGTTTTCCAAGGGTCTTCCCTAAGGATTTGCCCCAGGGTTTGGCCCTACATTGGAAGGCAAAATCTAACATCTGCCCACCTCTGTGTTTCTGTGTGTAACAGACCCGTCACAGACGCGTGTGAAATGGACGAGGAGCTGCCTCTGGGCGACAAGGGAGCTGTGGTGGCAGCACGGCCTGGACTGGAGCACCATGCTGCCGGCGTTGCTGCTGCTTCTGGGGGCGGCGGTGCTGCGGGGAGCGGACACACTTCCTGACCAGAACCGTGAGCACGCTCTCTTCACCTCACCTCTTCCTTTCTATTCATTTGAAAGAGTTACAGAGAGAGGTCTGCTGCCTGCTGGTTCCCTCCCCAAATGGCCGCGATGGCCTTAGCTGCGCTGATCCAAAGCCAGAGGTAGGAGCTTCCAATGGGTGTCCCACATAGGTGCAGGGCTCCAAGCACTTGGGCCATCTACTGCTGCTTTCCCAGGCCACAGCAGAGAGCTGGATGGGAAGTGGAGCAGCCGGGACTTGAACCGGCGCCCATATGGGTGCAGGCGCTGCAGGCCAGGGCGTTAACCCGCTGTGCCCCCTCCTTTTTCTTTTCAGGGAGTGATTCCGTGAAGGAATACATGACGATTTTTCCCTAAATAAGTCCTCAATTAGGAAATCACATATGGACATTGACAAAAAAAAAAAAAAAAAAAAAAGAATTCCTCATTGGGCTTTAAACGCGCTGTGTCTTAAGAACACAGCACTAGCATAAGTCAACTTGGGTGCTGCCGTGGGAAATCAGGTTCCAAGTGTGGGTGCCGGGCCCTCCTGTGGCCACACTTGGATGTGCTTCCTGCACCGCAGAGCCCAGACGGCCTCCCCCCAGAGGACGAGGCGCCTCCCCTGTGTGCCGCTCCGAAGCCTGCTGCTCTGTGGGTCTGTGCGATGCAGAGTTTAAGAATGGAGACGGTCACACAGTCCTGACCCGGCATTGCCTCACGGACCGTCCAGGACAGAGACCATGTGCTGCCGTGTGCAGCGTCCGGGGTGGGGGGTGGGGGCAGTAGCCACGTGCGGCTTTGGAGCACTTGAAATGCAGATAGTGTAACTAGGGTTTTGGAGCAGCGCCGTAACGCACAGAGCCGAGAATGACCGCGTGTGGATGCAGAGGCGTGTGTGGGCGCTGCTCGGGACACCTGTGCCCCACACTGGAGTGGCCGGCATCGAGTCCTGCCTCTGTTCCCCACCCAGCTTCCTGCCAGTGCCCACCCTGGGAGGCAGCAGGTGATACCTCAAGCAAGTGGGTCCCTGGGTGAAGCTCCCGGCTCCCGGCTTTGGCACGGCCCCGCCCTGGCTCCTGGCTTTGGCCTGGCCCAGCCCCGGCTCCCGGCTTTGTCCTGGCCCAGCTCCGGCTCCTGCGGGCCTTTGAGGAGTGAAGCAGCAGATGGATGATCTCTCTCTCTCCTCTCTCTGTCTACCACGTATAAGAAATTTCCTTGGAAAAACCTAACAATTTAGCAAATAAATAGAGACTATTTTTTTTTTTGACAGGCAGAGTGGACAGTGAGAGAGAGAGACAGAGAGAAAGGTCTTCCTTTGCCGTTGGTTCACCCTCCAATGGCCGCCGCGGCCGGCGCGCTGCGGCCGGCGCACTGCGCTGATCCGATGGCAGGAGCCAGGAGCCAGGTGCTTTTCCTGGTCTCCCATGGGGTGCAGGGCCCAAGCACCTGGGCCATCCTCCACTGCACTCCCTGGCCACAGCAGAGAGCTGGCCTGGAAGAGGGGCAACCGGGACAGAATCCGGCGCCCCAACCGGGACTAGAACCCGGTGTGCCGGCGCGCTAGGTGGAGGATTAGCCTAGTGGAGACTATTTTTGATTGTGTGTATATTTTCCCATTTTAGTGAAATAGTTGTATAAATATATGTCCAGAAAGAAATACAGTGGACACACACTTGTTAGCATCATTCTCAGGGGTGCCATTGTAGGAAATTTTCCTCTCTGGTTCTCTCAAGTCTCCACCATGAGCACACGCTGATGTCACAGAGTCCAGCCGGCCCTGTGGAAGCCCAGTCAGAACAGCCCCCGCAGGAGAAACCTTCTGTGAGCGCCCCCACATAACGTGGCTCACGGCAGGTTCAAGTTGGCGCATTTCACATCGCGTGCCAGCACCCGTGCCGTCTACCAGTGCAGGGCGCGAGAGACAGCACGCAGCTCCCACACGTGCACGTCTGATGAGCCCTACGATTTCCTATCCCACTTTCTTCTACACCATTAAAACCACCACTGCTCACACACTAGTGACCTGTTCGTGACAGCGACCCTCAGGTGGACGACTGTGCTTATCAGGAATGGTGGTACAGCAAGTCGCCCGTCCGTCGGTAAAACGGGGGGATGTTACAGGCAAACGCCCGGGCATCGGTAAAATGAGTTCAAAACAGCTGTGCGTAAACTCTTCCAAGATCATCGCAGCGCCGCACACTCCAGCAGCCGCGATGGACCCAGACGCCGTTCCTGTGCTGCCTGGTGCAGCCCCTCACCTGTGGCTTCTTCCTTCCCGCCCCCAGTCCTCCTCCTCCCCCCTGTCAACTTGACCATCGTCGTCGCTGGGCTGGCACGAGCCCTCCTGCGCTGGGCGCCACACCCCGACCAAGCGCGCCAGAACGTGACTGTGGACTACCACGTGCGGATCCACGGCCCACAGGAGGACGAGGTGAGCGCCCCTCCCACGCCCCGGCTCACAGCGGGCACCCACCCTCTCTGCTTCCTTATCCAATCAGCCCGCTGCGTCTCCGCATTTTATCAGATTTGGTTTTTTTCTTTTAAATCGACATAACACCTGCATGTACTTAGGGGGTAGCGTATGGAACTTTGGTCCACGTGAGGGTACTTCCACGGACACTGGAAGCAAGGGGAACTCTGCTCTGATGGGGGGATTTGGAAATCCACGCCCCCCCCTTCCCCAGGACCTCAGTGGAGACCTCTCCCTCCCACTCCTCGTGTGACTGTCGAGCGAGGGCGGGGTCAGCATTTCCAGTATGTGTCTGTCATTGCTTTGTCTTGGGCAGATGAAATTTTAAACAAAATTTAAAAAATCAACTTCATGCGGTAGTCACAGCGGCTGGGGGCAGATGGAGTGGCCGTGAACCAGCGCCCGTGTCGTGGCCAACAGGACAGCAGAGAGGAGTCTGGTCTCCAGGGAGAGGGCGGGACCAGGGCACAGGGACCAGGTCAGGCCGGTCCATCCATGCCCCACCTTCCCGCCCCGGGCCAGGGCTTCCTGCCGGGCCGCCGAAGCACCTGCTGGCCTGTGGTCTCAGTGCGGTGGGCAGCACGGGCAGCATGCTCTGGGTGTCTTCCAGCCCAGTGGGACCCTAGAGGACTTTCAGCCCACGTCCCCTTTGTGTGGGGGGAGGCTAGGATGGAGAGGGGACTTGGGTCTGACGGTTTTATTTTGTTGGGTTTTTAAGTTTGTATCCATTTGTTCTGAAAGTTTGAGAAAGGGAGAAAGAGGTTCATTCCCCAAATGCCCAGAACAGCTGCAGCTGGGAGCTGCATGTGGGCCTCACATGTGCCTGGCAGGGCCCAAGTCCTCGGGCAGCACCTGCTGCATTAGCAGGAAGCTGGGGTGGGCAACAGAGCTGGGACTCAAATCTGGGCACCGAGATGTGGGGTGCAGGCACCCCAGGCAGCCTCCAAACCAAACACCTCCCACCAAACACCTCCCAGCCAGACACCTCCCACCAAACACCTCCCACCAAACACCTCCCAGCCAGACACCTCCCAGCCAGACACCTCCCACCAAACACCTCCCAGCCAAACACCTCCCAGCCAGACACCTCCCAGCCAGACACCTCCCAGCCAGACACCTCCCACCAAACACCTCCCAGCCAGACACCTCCCACCAAACACCTCCCACCAAACACCTCCCAGCCAGACACCTCCCACCAAACACCTCCCACCAAACACCTCCCAGCCAGACACCTCCCACCAAACACCTCCCAGCCAGACACCTCCCAGCCAGACACCTCCCAGCCAAACACCTCCCACCAAACACCTCCCAGCCAGACACCTCCCACCAAACACCTCCCACCAAATACCTCCCACCAAACACCTCCCACCAAACACCTCCCATCAAACACCTCCTAACCAGACACCTCCCAACCAGACACCTCCCAACCAAACACCTCCCAGCCAAACACCCGCCCCTAACTGGTTGTTTTTTTTTTCTGTGTGACAAATGTGTCCCTGAATCACTGTGGAATTATTGTCCTCACAAGGGTTTTGTTCTTAATTTGACCTAGCAAAACGACCTCACTGCGCTTTGTCATTTGAAAAGTGGCTCAGACACTCGTGGCCCTGCCCACGTCATCACTCTGGCTCTTGTTTTAGTATGAAACCAGGAGCACCGTGAGCACCTGCGTCGCCCCCCTGCACCAAGGCCTGTCGGCGAGCGTGAGGGCCATCGTGAGAGACCACGGCCGCCTCCAGGCCGCCAGCCGCTGGGTGTCCGCGGAACTCGAGCCCCCCCCAGGTAGAGCAGACCTGCGCCATGCTCTGGTGTTGGCAAATACGGGGCAGTACACACACGGACACCATCCAGCTCAGCCAGTCACCGTCCCTGCCACATCCCAACCGACACGGCCCTGCTGAACCCCACCTGACCCCCTGCGGAAGCCTGCACGCTCTCCAGAGCTGGGAGGCTACCACTTCTGATGCTCAGAGCCAGTGATGGTTTTGATTAAACCCCAGGACACGCACTGTCACAGGAGAGGGAGAGAGGAGAGGCCGCATCGGCCCTGCACACATGTGGGCACGGATTCAGGGGTGCCTGGGCCGGTCGGGCCCACGGGGGATTTGTAAACGATTCTCTTGACCACCTCACTGGGGGAGCAAAAAGCACGCGGCTCAAACTGTGCTGGTGGTGTGGGGAGGTCCATAGAAAGCGTCCTGCTGACCGTGAGAAGCCGCTGCTAGAGCAGAGGGGCCAGCTCACCACGGGCCGCACCCCAGGTTCAGAGACCGAGGTCACACGCACGGCTGGGCCACCATGGCACCTCCCTGCAGGGAACACAGGACCACCCAGAACGCAGCTTCGGCACCACACTGGCAGGCTCCTCTTGTTCTCTGACACTCCGATCCGAGCTGAACCAGGGAGATGTCAGTCATCTCCGCCTTCAACCAAGCGGAATTCACGCCAAGGGGTTCCTTGCCTGGGAACCGTGAGGCCAGCACACTGCAGAAATTCTGCGCTGTACCTGAGCTGGGCCATCCGGTCACTCAGCCCAGGAACAGGTGGAGACGTGGCGGGGGGGGGGGGGCAGCGCAGACATGACACAGAGACACATGTGGCGAACACAGGAAGGAACAGTGAATACACGGGACACAGACACGGTGCACATGCATATGACGGGTGTAGACACAGAGCGGATTGAGATACAGCAGACATGGAGAGAGAGAAAGTGGGTGTAGATAGGGTCACTATACATGTAGATGCGGGGGACTGACGTACAAGTGGCAGGTGTCACGCAAGGAGTATAAGCACGGGACACACAGACGTAACACACAGGAGCCAGCGGACACACATATGAAGACAGATATGCAGTAGATGCAGAAGCTGTCCATCAGGTACAGTGGATATAAATGAGACACAACGTGTGCACACACTCACACACACACGCGTGCGCGCACGAGGGGCTTCAATTTTTTTTGCATCAAAATAAACTGATGCTTCAGTTCAGAGCACTTCCCGTGCAGCCTGTGGATGCGTCTGTGAGCCTCCTGTCTTTCACGGAAGGTTCCAGAAAGGTCTGGTGATGACCGCACTCCGGCCAGGGCAAGCCGTTCACAGGAAGCACGTGGTTCAGGCTGTCACTGCAAGGCTGTTCCTTCCCTTCTTGTCAACCCAGGGCCTCCCGGCACCGCGGCCGTGAACCTGACCTGCACCACCAACACCGCAGCAGGGGACGGCACGCACGCCGCACGGTACCAGGTTTCCCTGCACTGCGCCTGGCGGGCGGGCGAGGCAGCCCCGGCGGATACACAGTATTTCCTCTACTACAGGTGAGCGCTAATTTCACCCGCACACACGGCCGGCTTCCTAGCATCTCGGAAAACTCACGAGTGCTCCGATTCAGGTTCGGCGCCGAGACCCACGAGTGCCGCGAGTACAGCAGAGACTCCCTGCAGAGGAACATCGCGTGCTGGTTCCCCAGGACCTCCATCCACAGCAAGAGGCGGGACCGGCTCGCCGTGCTCGTCAACGGCTCGAGCAGGCTCACGGCCATCAGGCCCTTGGATCGGCTGTTTGCTCTGCACGCCATAGGTGAGGCCCATGGCCCCGGCTGCGCTAGCTGCCACCAGCGGCTCGGTGCTGAGCTGGGCCCTGTGCAGAGGCTCTGTATTGAAAACCCCCGGTGCGAACCAGGCCTCAGCTCTGCTGAGGCTGGGGAGATGCTGTCCCCGGGACGGGTCCTGCCAGGCGCCGGCAGGGTGCGCACAGCATCCCTGGCCCCTCCAGCTCGGTCCCAGGCACACAATCTCAGACACTGGGAGGTCGCCCTGGCCCCAGCTGAGCGTCACCGCACGGGAGAGCTGATTGCCCTGCTGCGGCAGCCCACCTCACCTACCAGTGTCCAGGAGGCTGCTGGCCAGGGACCCCGAGAGGGACTCACGCCACCCCTGCAACCTGAGCTCCTTCTCCAGGCTGATGCCCTCCCCCTGCCGCCCCGGGGAAGCTCGGCGTCTGCGCATGCTCCGGGTATTCCACACTTGATGTGCTCAGGGCTCCAGTCCCTCTTCTCGGCACTTCCATCAGGGCCCTGTGAGCCGCACCTGGGGGTCCCGCGCTGCCGTGGTCACCGGCATGAGGGCCTCTGTGAGCTGCTCGTTCGTCCAGGCGCTGGGGTCAGGCTGCCTCAAGCCTGCCTTTCTCATTGGAAAAATGGGCAGAAATGAGTACCTCCCGTGTGGCTTTCGTGACCATTCCGTGTGCCGCTATTTTAAAGTGCTGAGGACAGCAGCTGGCGTAATTGCTCAATAAATACACCAGCCTGTCACTCAAAGGCATGATTTTGCCGTGACACGTCTGCTCCAAGCGTGTGCAACAGCGTGCAATTCTCTCCCACAGTGAGAGCCCGAGGCTGCCTGCCAATGTCACCGTCACAGCAATAAAACACGTTCGGGAGGACGCGGGGAACAAAGATATTCACAGGAAAATGGGGACGAGAGCACAGGGCATTTTATGGTTTTTGTTTTGTTGCGACCACGTGGTGGGATTGACTTGAGTCCTTTCTTGGCTAAGGATGCTCTGTTCAGTGTGTGGCTGGCTAGGAAGCAGTGCCTCTGTCCTGAGCTCGCCCCGTGCGTCACAGCTCGCGAGAGCCAAGTCCCGTGCAGTTCCTGTGGTCAGAAGGGACAAAGCTTTAGAGTTATAAGTAACGGCGAGCGTGGCCCAAGGTATTCTTTTATTCTAAAGAAAATCGAAGCTTCCGGCTCCATCCTCCAAACCAAACCTCACCAAACAAAACCAAAGCCCACAAAGTGGAAAGGGTTTGCCCCAGCCACGTACCCACGGGGCAGCAGAGGTGCAGCCCGGGGAGAGCTCGTCTTCCCTCCAGGTCAGGGTTGCCCCAGGCTTGGACCAGCTTTCGACGTGGCTGGGCCAGGATTCAACTGCATGACTCTACTGGCTGCAGCCACCCACGGGTGCCAAGGAGGGGCTGCTCGGGAGTTGTTGGTGTGGGAGCCTCCTGGGAGCCACGGCTTCCCCAGGGTGGGGGATCAGTGGGCTCAGGACCCAAGAGCAAACGCACTGAGCAGGTGGGTGGGGGCCGGCCTCAGCCCTGGCCGCCGACCCTGAAGGAGCATCCCTCATTTGTCACTGTCTGACCCAGACCAGGTAAACCCTCCCAGGAACGTCACAGCCGAGGTGCAAGGAGCCCGTCTCTCCATCGAGTGGCAGAAGCCCGTGTCCGCCTTCCCCAGCCACTGCTTTGACTATGAAGTGCAGATCAGCGACACGAGGAAGGCTTACGTCCAGGTAACGCCACGCGTTCCTTCTAGGAGCACGGGAGAAACCTCGCGTGCCTGCCTACAGCTCGTGCATATAAATCCCATCCGACCTGTCTTTGGCATCATCGGCCATAACACAAAGGGTCAGACAGACGGCTGATGCCAGCGCTGCTGGACACGGCAGAGCGGCACAGAGTCCGAGCTCCTGTGGGAGCCCAGAGTCGCTCCTCCAGGTGCACGACGGAGTCACAGCAGGGACTCAAAGACCCGTTTGTGCAGGGCTCCCTCAAAAGGTTCATGGAAAATGGAACTAAAAGAACTTTGTTCTGATGTAAGAACATCGAGACATCCACACGTGGTTTGTAATTTTCGTATTATACACTTTCTGTGATCTGTTTGAAGGGCCCTTGATACACTGATTTCACATTTGTTTTTGCTGCCAAAATAAATTTGTCTCTCAATTCCATTTTCCACGAACTTTGTGAGCTGTGCCCGAGACACCCACGTTCACGGCAGCATCATTCACAACTGTCCAAAGCTGAAAGCAGCCCGTGGTCCCTGGGGGCTGCGTGGACAGAGCCTGGTGCACACGTACCCGCTGGAAGTGTGCACCCCTGCGCCCGGGGTGGGCCTGGGGACATCATACCTATCGGGAGAAGCCAGCTACGAGAACGCGGACCCAGAGTCCGTCTCCCTGGGATTCCTGCAGGAGTCACGGTCTCGGTAGAATATGGGGGCCAGGGACTGGCAGGAGCTGAAAACCGGAGCCGCAGCAATGGGAACCAGCGAGGGCCTTGCATGACTGAGACCTGGGGCCACATCTGCAGGGCCGGGCCATCGTCTCGGCAGCCGTGTGAGAGCTGGATGCAGGAGCGTAGCGTGGGCATGGGGATAGCAGTGGCTACGGCAGCAGCCCAAGCCAAAGATAACCAGAGCTGAAATAGGCAAGTGTCATGGGTGGGAGTGAGGAAGGCAGAAGCAGCCGCAGGAAGTGTGCAGGGGGCAGGTGTCAGGGACACGGTTCTGGTCTGGGACACAGGCGCTCGGCTGGACGGTGGTGATGCCGACCAGCAGAGGAGAGAGCACAGATCCTGTCAACACCCCATCATCCACCCCGTGGCGCTCCGGGCTGCCCAGGGCAAACCAGCACGGCTGGCCATCCAACACTCCTGCTTGTCTGCATCAATACATGGTGTGGAAATCGCCAGTTTTCTCGACTCTTCTAGCACACCCCGCGCTCGGCTTTCCGCGTCACTTCATTTAACTCAGACGAGGCTGAGACTGGCGTCGAGGCTCCCCGGAGCCGAGGAGCGGGCTCGTAGTGGGCTGGAGACGGGGCACAGCCTGACTCAGGCACTGCTCCCCCACTTTCCCCAGAGCCCCTCGCCCCAGCCCCTGGCTCGCCATGGAGACCTGGGGCCGGCTTCTCCCCTGGTGTTCAGCTCCGCCGCTAGGAATGAAACCCGCGGGAGTGCCTGTGTCCCAGGAAAGCGTTGTTTGTGGACACTTGGATGTCAAATTCCTGTCATTGTCATGTATCTTGGAACGTACATTTCACCATTTAAGGTGATGCCACCACGCAGGCCACGCAAGCCCGGGCACTGGCTCAGCCTGCTGTGCGGGAGACGCTGAGTGAGGCTGTCGGGGTGTGGCATCTGGAGGCAGGGGAGGGGCAGGGGAGTGAGCTGCTGACCCCTGGGTCTCACACTGGCTCCTCCGGATCTCAGAACTGACCCCTTTGTTGATTCTGGGGACAGGATAGCTTTGTCCTGCAGGGCGGCTGCCGACGCCCCAGTGCCGGAGCAGCATAGGGTGAACTAGCCGACGGCGGTCCCGCTGTCAGTAAACCTGTGTCTGCCCGCTGCTCTGATGACCGGCGTAAGCCACGGGACTAGAGTTTTCTACTGCTCTTTCCCGTTTAGACGGAGAAACGGACAGTCAATGCCTTCACCTCCGTGATCGACAACAGTTCAAGGTACTGCGTTCAAGCGCGAGCCACGGTGAGCACCACGTGCCGGGCGGCGGGGCTCTGGAGCTCATGGAGCCCACCCTTCTGCGTGGGTGAGTAGCCCCTGCCGATCCGACAGTCCCAGAAGGCAGACACACTGGCGCATGGGACCCCTCCCCCCGGCCTCTGGTCAGCCCCACTGTCTCCATCAGAGGGCCCAGTCCAGCCTCGGAGGGCTTCACCATCAGAGCCTTGCACTTGCACTTGTTTTCCGCTTCTGCTTCTACCCGGGTGATTAGATCAGACTTTCTGAGATAGCTGCAGACAGACAGACAGAGCCTCCCATCCCCCGACCTGGTTTCCATGGCAGGCAGGGCTGTGCATAGCCACCGAGCAGCGGGGCAGGCAGACCACCGGCCTGACAGCTCCTGGGCGTCACAGCCGTCCGTCCCCGGACGAGGGTTGGGCTCGGTGCAGCTGCCTGAGCCGGTGCAGCCGCCACCGAGCTCAGGAGGTGGCGCCGCTCACCACTGTGGCAGGGGGTCCCGCTGGCCTCGCAGAAATACACCTCTGCGTCGCCTCCACACCCGACCCTGGCGACTGAGAACCCGCCCGCCATCTCTACCACGTGTCCGTTAAATTCATGTTTTGTTTCCTTTCTTAAAGATGATCCAAAGTCAAGTATCACTCAGGGTCACCTCCTGCCCCCCAAAGTGGGAGCCATTTCTGAGCCCTCAGCTCAGCGGGTCTGGAGGAAGGCGAGGTTCGGACACGGCCTCACTCCTGGGTTGGGTCTGCCAACCCGGCTGCGCCGTGTGCTTGGCCAGGGGGATGGGCATCCTCTCTGTCGCTGGGAGCCCTGGCAGCTCTGGGGGGAGGGGCGCCTCCCCATCTCACTCTGTCATCAGGAGACGCAGCCTGCACTCTGTGTTTGTTGTCATCTGGGTGTGCTGGGCAAGAGGCACACACAGGTTAGGAGAGAGGGGACATTTGACACCTGTGTGTCTCCATGGAGGCCAGGGGCTGCGCCAGGCCAGCCAAAACAGGGACGGTAGACAGGACCCTGGAGTCTTCCCCAGAAGACCCACCTGGGCACACAGGCCGTGCATCACAGGCAGCCGTTTCTCCTGCTTGCTGGGATCCCAGAGGTGCAGCTGGGTGACAACAGCAGCTCACTGGGCCTCACGCCCCACGTGCCCCCCAGCCGGGCCGCCCTGTGGACGAGCACACGGCACGCGCAGGTCATTTACTGAGCGCTCCGTGGCCAGCAAATGGCAGGGGCGTGGCTGCACCCCAGGTTAAGCGACGTTAGCCCTGGACCTCAGCGCTGGTCAGTGGACCAGGATCCCGCAGGGTGCAGAGCACAGAGCAAATTCAGAATTTACTGCAGAGCTGCTGGTGGCCAACGGCTCGGCCGTGGCCGGGCAGACACGTGGCTGCCATCTCCCACGCACTCTGCGGGGCTTTTCAGAACCGGCCCAGGCAAGAGCGCACCTCAGGGGAGGTGTCTCCCCGGCACCGGCAGCCGTCTTCTGCTCCGGCTGCCGGGTGGGTCTTCAGGAAAGTCGTGGGTGGTGGCCCAAGAGCGCACGTGGACGTGAGTCAGAGTGACACTGCCAGGTCGACTTCCACAGAACACCGGGAAGACCTGAGCGGGGTAGCTCTGTACGTCTGCAAGGGGCTGGATGTGCTGAGCCCCCTCCGCCCCCCTGCGCAGCACAGCCCCCGGCGTGACGCCGGCACAGCACGACCCCTCCTGGGGAGAGGGAGCCAGGAGGAGGGCGAAAGGAACCAGGAACAAGCTTGAATCACCTAGTGCAGATTCTGAGGCTGACCGCCTCTCCTGCCTCCGCTCCCCAACGCTGATGCCCCGGCCTGACTGAACTGACCCAGGACACGCGGGACGGCCCCAGCGTGGCTTCATGCGCTGTGTTTCCTAGAAGGGAAGCAAACAGCAGAGACATGGGCCAGTGTCAGGGACTTTTTCAACACGAGCTTCCTCCGTGCTATTTGCATTGGGGGGGTCTCTGTCCACATCACTCCCAGGGGCCCAGAACTCCGTGGCCCCCAACCTTGCCGTTTCTTCGCATCTTCCCGACATCCTCTTCCTCAGAGGTGCCTCCTCCCCGCTGTGCCGACACGGCGGCGGCCGAGGTGACTCCGGAGGCTTCGGGTCCTGAGGGCAAGGCTGGCCGTGGGGAGCTGGGACTCACCAGGGCAGGGAGGCTTCAGCGAGGCAGAAGGTGTCCGTGTCGGCCAAGGCTGCGGGACCCACGTCGGAAGCCTGCACTCCGCGGTTGCTCCGTGTGGCTGTCGCTGACTCCCTCAGCACCGCAGCGCCGGGGTCAAACTGTGGTCCATGATGAGCCTATCTCAAGCTTCCTTTTAATTTCTTATTCCTTCTCCACCTCATTGCTTTCACCAGGATTACTTCCTGGACAGCAGCTTCCCCTGCAGGCCCAGGCTTGTGGCAGGCCTCCCGCCCCGCCACGTCCAGGTGAGCCTCAGGGCGCCGTTTCAATTCCAGCCCCCTCTGGGGGCAGAGGCTCTGAACAGCATCACCCCCCCACCCTGCAGCCTGGGATCCTTAGCGACTTCCATCAGTTCTGGCTTCTCCTTTTATCGAGGTGATTGAGAGACACGACAGGGAGTCCTGCCCCCTCTGGGATGTGCTGGGGCCTCTTCCGCCCCCAAGGATGCAGCTGTAATGATGCTTGGCTTGCCGTGGCCTCTGGGGTCCTCCCGAGCCACCCCCCTCCCCCCCACGCCTCCCCCTCGCGTTTCCTTAAGGAAATGGGGGCCCAGAGACAGAAAAGGACTCAGTCGCCAAACAGCCAAGACGCGGCCATCAGCGCACAGTCTCCTCAGTGACGCAGGAGCCAATTAGCCAGTAAAATTCAGTAACTCATTAGCCCATAATTTCAGGCAGGAACTGGGCAGGGCCAGGGGGAAGCCAGGCGGCCCTGGGATGCAGTGGCCCGGGACCCTCTGCCGTCCTGGCCCAGGGCTCCCCAGAGGCGCTGGTTTCTTTATGGGGGAGCAGCTTCCCTCCCTCGTCGGCACACACCGGCGTCTCCAGCCCTCGGCCAGCTGCTCCGCCTTATCTCGCACGGACTTCCCGGCTTCCACATCCTTCCCCCTTTGCGAACTTTCTCAACTTCTGCAAACTGCAGGCCTCCTGCCCCCGCCCCCGCTTCTGCTTTCTGGAGTCTGCGGGGGCTCTCCCCTCCCGTGCTCCGGTGCCCAGGGGCATCCCGCCCTCAGGAACACGGCTGCTGGCCATGGCTCCTGCCCCGCTGCAGGGCTCTCAGGCCCTGACACGGACCTGACAGCCGCCCCTCAGCCGGGGCCTGCCCGCCTCCTACATCAGTCTCTCACGCCTGCGTCTAGGCTGTGCTGGCACCAGGTGCCTCTGAAGTCTGCTATAGGCGCTGCTGTCAGCCTTGGGACTCGCGGCCCTCGCGCCTTGGGGTGCGAGCCAAGCCGTCCACCCCTCCAGGCTTCTCACACAGCCCACGGCTCCGCCTTCACCTCTGAGCAGGGCAGGGGCCTGAGCCCCGCCCTCTGTGCATGGGAGGTGGACACAGTGCTGCCCTGGACGTCCCTGTGTCATTTCCCTTTGACTTGACGCCCACGACTGGGCGGGGGGTGAAGAAGCCATGACCTTGGCCCCCAGTTTAGAGGGTCTGAGCTCTGGGCTGGGCTTGGGAGAAGGCGGGTTCACCTGCTTTGTCTGCTGAATCATCACAAACCCGATTTTCCTATTTCCCAAACACAAAAGGAACCAAGGAGCTGCCCACAGGCCCACAGGCCCGGCAAGTGGTGAGCCCGGATCCCGGCCACACCCTGGCCCTCTCCCTTCCGTGGTGCCGTGGCTCCGTGGGCAGCAGGGGCGGTGCCGTGGCTCCGTGGGCAGCAGGGGCGGAGGCCCGACAAAGGCCAAGGCCCGGCCCCTCCCAGGCCAGCAGTGGGGAGTTGTCCTCGGCTGCTCAGGGCCCTGGATTCTCCTTTCCATGTGCCGCAGGCAGAACCACGCACGGCCCACGCCCCTCTGTCTTCCCCAGCATCTCTGCTGCTTGCCCCGCGTCTTTCTCTCCAATCTGAGCTTTGCTGCTCTGCACTCTGAGGAGCTGCCACTCCCGTCTTGGGCCTTGCGATGCACTGAATCCGGCTCACAGCGCCCCACGCTGGCAACAGTAAATCTTTCAGCCCTTAGCCCGCTGCTCCTTATTCTCGTTGACCTGTCTGAGAGGCGTCCACGTGGGGAGGCAGGGGGAGCTCCCATCCGTCGGTCCACTCCACCAAGGACCACGATGACTGGGGCCGGTCATGCCACAGCCAGGGGATCAGCCAGGCCTCCGTGATGGGTGGCAGGAACCCACATCCTCGAGCCATCACTGCTCTGCAGGAAGCTGGAGTGAGGAGCGGGAAGTGGGAATCCGGCCTAAGGACGCACGTGGACCCCAGCGTCCTCACCGTGAGTCAAGGGGCCCTCCGCCACTCCAGCCGTCCTCGTGTTTGCCGCAGGAGGGAGAAGCCGGAGAGGCTACCCTGGCCAGGGCTGCTGCTGTGGCACAACTGGGACTAAGCTCCCGCCTTGCTGCTGTGGCCGTGAGAGGACTGGACTCAGAGACAGAGCCTCGCGCCCCTAGCAGGTGGAAGCATATGGCCAGCAGCCCCCGGCAGGAGCGAAATTCTGGACTGTCTTGGGGCTCCAGAAGCCCTTGGAGGAGAGAACAGCTGCCCCAAGGGAGTCCCTGTCCACTTGGACAGTCAGGTCCCCCCGGAGGCCACTGGGCCACAGCACAGCAGGAGCTGCCACCCGCCCTGCTCAGTTCCCACTTCCTCTCCCCGTCCCTGCCTCCGGTCACTTGAGCCCAGGTTCTGTGCCTTTTTCCTCTGGGTCCTGTCTGCTCCGTGTGCTTCCCCGGGGCTGTGTCTCACAGCCTGTGCTGTGTGGCTCCCTGAGCCAGGTGCAGGCTGAGGTCCCCGTGATGGCGTCCTGGGAAAGCTCAGGTGCACACACCGCCCAGAGCCTCGCCAGCCTGCGATCTGGTGCCTGCACTCTTTCACGGAGACACCAGCCTCACCCTCTAGTCATGGGCTCTCCAGGGAGCGCCATGGAGAGACCCCTCCCCATACGGGTAGCCGCCCGGGAGTTCTTGGTCTGAGCCACGTGGGCACAGAATTGGAGCACGAGGGGCTGCGGCACCAGGAGGGAGCTGACCCAGCCCTGCAGACCCTGACCCCTGGAATCCCGCCATGCGCACCCCAGGCCACGGCACGCACAGTCGCCATCGCTCGTCTTGTTTGCAAGGAGAGGCAGCCGAGACGGAAGCTGAGGTCCCAGGAGCCGTGTGAGTGACGCGTGACACCTGAGGCGCGGCTCCTGCTCAGCCAAGCAGGCCGTGGGCTTCCTCTCTCCGAGCTCAGCGCTGCATAACCAAACAGCCGTGCCCGTCCATGAGCTCAAAGCGGCCATCTCTGGCTTCCGTTTTAATAGTGGCCGAGTCACACCACCTGACCCGGAGAAATGACTCAAATTACCTGGAACCGCTCTGCTAGCCAGAGACCCCGATCCCAACTCAGACTGAACCGAAGGATCGCCCGCTTTTCAGTCTTACTCTGAGTCATCCTGACCCACAGGACGCGCCTTGTCGGGCACTGCACTCGCTTGACTGAACTCCTACCTAGCTCTCGCACTCAGGATTTCCCTCCATAGCAGACTGGGCAGCGGCCAACTCACAGGCACCCGAGGAGGCTTCTTCCTACACTGCCAATCTGGGTTTTCTTTGTGGAGGAGCTCGCCTTGGTCATGTTCCTGGGCAAGTTCTGATCTCAGCTGGACATGCCAGGGCACTCGGGACCAGGGCAGCCCTAAAGCACGCCAGGCAACTGATTCTCCAATTTCCCAGCCCCCTGCAGGAGGTGACCACGGCTTTGATTCCCACATAGCACCCCGCACGCATCAGTGATGGTTCTGATCCAACCAAAGAAAATAACTTGTTGACGCTTTTGCTAATTCAGCAAGCCTGTAGTGGATGGCTACAGAGGGGTTTAACTGCAAAGACTGTTGTAATCGTTATCAGGTCTGGGCTTATCAGCCGGGGGAGTTGCGTCATTTGCACCACAAACGTGACTGAGTGTGTGTCGCTGATAAAACTTAGGACGTGGCTGGTTCTGTTGGGCCTGGTTGGAGACAGACGCCCTGTTTTCTGCTCCCATCACCGCTGCTGAAGCCGCACCTGATGCACGAGTGGGGTCCCTGCACGTGGTTCTGAGGTGCCTGCAGCACGGCTGTGGGTGTGGAGAGAGAGGTTAGTGCCAGAGACCCGGAGATGGATGCCCTGCGCCAGAATTAGGCCGAACATGAGTAAGAGGCGAGCAGAAGAAACAAAACACAAAACCAGCAGAGACCCAAAGCCCAAGGCATCCGCCTGCTGACAGCTGCGGAAGTCTCACAGGACCTGGGATTCCATCTGCGCGCGCTTCGCACCTCAGGGCAGAAGCAGTGAACGCGAGCTTGGGACCGGAGCTCTCCTCCCGGGCAGTGAGGTCCGAACCTGCCCCAGGCAGTCGGCACGCAGGTCAGGCAGGATGGCAAACACGGCACCTCTCATCACCACTGGCACACGCCGTGGGGTTCCGTGAATGCATCCCCAGTCCCTGAGAACACGCCCACTCATCGTCCCCACCCCACACGGTCACTGTAGCCACAGGAGGATCAGCCCCGAACGTGGACTGGCAGGTGCCACGTCCTCACCTCCTGCGCTTAGTGGCAGCGTTCCTCTACCTCTCACTGTGCAGTGGGGACAGTGCTGAGGGGGGCTTTGGTGGCAATGAAGAGCATCGAGCCCCCCAGCAGAGATGACATCCCTGCTAACTGGGGGTCTTATCTCACTTCCTCCAGTTTCCGTATTCCTAAGATTTTGACTGTAAGGACATTCAGCTACTGCATGGGCTCATGTTACTGTGACTTTTCCGTGGAAGACCCCGTCCATTCAACCAAAAGCCAAGGGGCTCCAGCTCCGGGAAGCCCTGGGCTGGGCTGAGCCCCTGGCTGGGTGCTGGCTGGCAGAACACATGGTGCACAGGAATGACCGCCCGTGGCCACGTGCGCCTGGCACCCGCACAGAAGCCTTGCAACGCGTGTGCTGTCCCTTCCAGGAGGGGCACCGGCACCTCAGGCCTCGCGCTCTCTCGTCGCTGGCTCCATGCTGACCCTTCTCTCTGTTTCCCCAGGAAGCGACGCGCAGAAGCCCTCGTCCAAGCAGCTTCTCATGGCGCTGCCGGCAGCCGTCTGCTTCGCCTTGTTGGTTTGCTCACTTGTCTGCAGGGGGTAGGTGCTCTTCCCGGCTGGGGCTTCCCAGGGCTACACAGCCCGGAGATGGAGCGTTCTTGTTACAGGATGGAATTCACGGTGTGTAGGAGCGCAAACCAAAGCGAGAGTTGGCCTGGGGCATGCGTGTCCTGGCCCATGCCTGGCCTGCTGTAGCCTGGGAGCCACCTGCTAACCTCATTGCAGGCTTCGTCATCAGCTCCCTCGGGCCCTTCCCAGCCTTCCTCGAAGAACCTGGTGCCTTTTACCTGTTGGCACAGGAAGGCAGGCCCTGGAGCCAAAACCATCCCAGGGCTGGGGTTGTGATCCTCAGCTCTCCGGGGCCGACACCCACCTGCCCTGCAGTGGCTGATTGTCCTTGGCTCAGCCGCGGCCGCGGGAATGTGCTGCAGATCTGCCTTGCGTCCTGGAGCCTGCAGGTGGCCCCGTGAGCCCGACTCCCTCCAGCTGTAGCACGAGGAGAGCCCGAGCACCCTCTCAGAGGCCGGGGAGCAGGTTCTGTGTCAGCCCTTCTGTAGTAAGGAGAGCCGCTTTCCTATCGGGCCACAGCCGAATGGCCTCGAGGGGTGGGAGTGCAGCGGAGGACAGGCTGCAGCCCTGTGGGCCAGTACAGCTGAGGAAGGGGCCGCAGCCAGCCAGTGCACGTGCTGGACAACCAGCGTCCATCCTCCAAACGGCCCGCTTGGGACCAGTGACCTGGCATGGTGGGTTAGGACCCGTGACTTGGGACAGTGGGTTAGGACCCATGACTTGGCATGGTGGGTTAGGACCCGTGACGTGGCATGGTGGGTTAGGACCCGTGACGTGGCATGGTGGGTTAGGACCAGTGATGTGGCATGGTGGGTTAGGACCAGTGACATGGGACAGTGGGTTAGGACCAGTGACGTGGCACAGTGGGTTAGGACCAGTGACGTGGCATGGTGGGTTAGCACCCGTGACGTGGCACAGTGGGTTAGGACCAGTGACATGGGACAGTGGGTTAGGACCCGTGACCTGGCATGGTGGCTTGGGACCCATGACCTGGCATGGTGGGTTAGGGCCCCTGACATGGGACAGTGGGTTAGGACTAGTGATGTGGCATGGTGGCTTAGGACCCGTGACCTGGCATGGTGGGTTAGCACCCGTGACGTGGCACAGTGGGTTAGGACCAGTGACATGGGACAGTGGGTTAGGACCCGTGACCTGGCATGGTGGCTTGGGACCCATGACCTGGCATGGTGGGTTAGGGCCCCTGACATGGGACAGTGGGTTAGGACTAGTGATGTGGCATGGTGGCTTAGGACCAGTGACATGGCATGGTGGCTTAGGACCCGTGACCTGGCATGGTGGGTTAGCACCCGTGACGTGGCACGGTGGGTTAGGACCAGTGACATGGGACAGTGGGTTAGGACCAGTGACGTGGCACGGTGGGTTAAGCCACGGCTCGTGAAGCCAGCGTCCTCTATTGGCTGCTCGGCTTCCCGTCCAGCTCCTGCTACTGCACCTGGGAGGCAGCGGAGGATGGCCCAGTGCCGTGCTCTCACCCACCTGGGGGACCTGGACGGAGCTCCTGGCTCCTGGTTTCAGCCTGTGCCAGGCCTGGCTGTTGTAGCTACTTGGGGAGTGAATCATGGGATAAAAGGTCCCTCACTCTGCCTTTCAAATCAATTCATCAATATTAAAAAACAAACAAACAGAAGCAGTGGGCCTGGTTGCGGGCACCTCCAGGAGGCAGATGCCTCTCCTCCTTCCGGAAGCTCTGGAAGCCACGGCAGAGCTTGGCAGGGGCCCGGAGTCTGCGGCGGTGACTGCAGTGTGGGTGTGTGGAAGCGTGCGGGTCCCGGGACGAACGCCCCAGCTCTCGGCGGGGATATCGGGGACCCAGCGCCACGCGTGCCCCGACTCCTCCTGTGCCGCTTGCAGATGCCACCTGTGGACCAGGCTGTTCCCGCCGGTGCCCACGCCGAGCAGCAACTTGGGAGACCTGCTTGCCATGAGCTACGAGGTAAGGCTGGGAGTCCTGCACTGGGTCAGACCGGCCCGTGTCGAGCCCTGGGGACCGTCTGTGGTTTCTCGGGCTCTGTGTCACAGAGTGGGGACCGTCTGTGGTTTCTCGGGCTCTGTGTCACAGAGCGGGGTTTTTCCCTGGGGTGGATCTTTGGCTGTTTGGCTTCTCTGCCTGTCGCCGTCTGCAGAGAGGGCCAAGGCCCCACTGGGTTACATGTGGACTCCCCAGGCAGCCGTGAAGGTCAGCTTCCTCCCTGCCGAGCTGACCCCAGCCGAGTCCCTCAGCGCTGGGAGCCCCACGTCGCTCTGTGTGACCGTCCGAGGTCCTGCTTAGCCCCCAGGTTCTGAAGACTGATTTCTGCACACAGCATCAAGGAAGTCTCGGGGCAGTTAATTCCTTAGGACGAAAACCAGAGAGAAGGCAGAGGCTTTGGCCCAAACACGCGTTTTCTGGTCCTGTGCGCACTCAGAACACGCGGGCTTAACAGGATGGTCTCTCACTCAGCCCTGTGCAACCACTCCCACACTCAGCCTCGCCAGAGACGTGCCCTGGTCACAGCTGGCGTCTGCCCGTCGAGGGTCTACCTCTGGACCACCTGTGAGACTCACTCGCCCGTCTGTGTGTCCATCTGAGGCCAACAGCACACCCACCGTCCTGGGTAGCATCACCTTGCTGTGAAGCTGGGTCGAAGGCCTCCACAGGCGGATTTCTTCATGTAGATTTAGAGCCAGCTTAGGACCCTCTACAGAAAGCCGCTGGCGTTCTGAGCAGCGCTGTGTTAAATGACAGACGGGCCTGGGGAGGAGCCACAGCGGTGCTGAGTTTTCCGTGTAGAATCCTGGTACGGTGCTCGGTCTGTCTCAAGGATGCTACGCGCTTTCTCACTGGACAGCTCGGTGCGTTGCTAACTCTGTCCCTGAGTGGAAAGGCTGCTCACGGAGAGCTCAGGGAAGCCTCCCAGGAAGAGCCAGGCGTGAGCACTCGAGGGCCACAAGCTTTGTCCCAGCCCTGCAGTGTCCCAGAGCAGCATCTTTGCGAAAGCCAGGTGCAGCCAAACCCCAGCCGAGATCAGCCGCTTGCTTGGCAAGCAGACATCTCGAACACAGCAGCTCACGACGGCACGAAGCACTGGCGCTGACGGTGGGGAAGGCACGGGTGAAAAACGCGCCCAGATAGTCAACTGCAACAAGGACTGTCCTTTCTCCCGCATCTGCAGTAGTGCTGTTTGGCACAGTTTACAGACCACACGTTGCTAAACTCTCGGAGCAGGGGATGAGGCCGACAAAATGACCACTGACCAGGCGTCCATCCCGTGTTCCCCGTGTCGGGGGGCAGCTGCTCAGGAAGGCGACCGAGAACCTGGGCGCGGGTCACCTGCAGCCCCGAGACACTGCTCCGACGTCCCTGGTCCTGGCCTCTCTGTGCTCGTCTTCATGCCGGTGCCTCATTTCCAGACACAACCCCCAAAGAGTTCCTCTAATCTGAGGTTGGCGAGAGAAGCGCCTTGTGGTTTGCTGTTCATGCAACCCAGACGGATGCGCAAAGAGCAGCTGGGAGCAGCCAAGGCGGGCTGAGGAAAAGCAGGGGTTAAGGCGGGGTCTCAGGATGGCTCACTGCCCTGCCGAGCATCGCACCAATGTGGCGGAGGGGAGAGGGTGTGGAACTGGGAAGTCTCCTCCTGGTCTCAGGACCCTGTGGCAGAGGAAGTGGGTGAGGCCCGAGCTGCCAGCGCCCCGCCTCTACCTCCAAAGGCAAAATCTGTCCAGCCCACACCCAGGCCCTGGTCTGTGGGAGCTGGGGGCGCATTCGTGCCCCTGCGGCGACCACGGGGAAGCGTTTGGCTGCTGCGTTGGTTACACAGCCGCCGCCTCCCTGCACCCTTGGGGGGCAGGTCCCCGGCCCTGCCAGTCCCTGACTCTGCAGGTCCACTAGCCCCTCAGAGAAAATGCACAGACTCCACGCAGATCCCTCGCGGCCCTACCAGTGCTGGCCGTCACGGAGTGACAGCAGCTTCTGCGCGTAACGCCACGCCGACAGCTGCTAGGCCGTGCTGCGTGGGGAAGAGTGGGGGGAGGTCGGCACACACTGCCCACGGGTGCAAGTGCTTTTCCGAGTATTCCCGTCTCGTGCTTGCTTGAATCCTGGAAGCAGAACCCCTGGGTCTGGAGTGGAGCCCTGATCAGGCCCTGGCGCTCAGGCTGGGCAGGTTTCCTCGCGAGCCTCCGTTAGAGACGGCTTCGTAGCGCTGGCCTGCGTGTTCCTTCTGCGGTGGGGCCCGAGACGGCTGCTCCCCGAGAGTGGTGGACGCTCACGCTGCCCCTGGAGCACAGGAGGCCGCCCCTGGCCTGCTCGCATCTGCTGCCCCCCACCGCACTGGGGTCTGGGGTTCAGGTCGTGTTGGTGAGCACATGACCTCTTACCGGCAGCTTGGGTTTTGCTGCAATTTTTATTGTTTGGGAGGCAGAGAAGCAGAGAAAGCTCCCAGGTCTCTCACGGGGTGGTGGGGATCCGCCTGCCTGAGCCATCGCCACTGCCCCCCGGGGGCTGCATCAGCAGGGAGCCGGGGCTCGGACCCGGGCACTGCCGTGGGACCCTAGCCAGCGTCTTCACCACCAGGTCAAATGCCCGCTCCTGTTGCAAATTTTCTCATTATCGTCAGCATTACTTGGGCAGCAACACTGTACTGACAGCCAGCCAAACCTAAGGAAACGCATGGCAAACCACGGGTAGAGAGGGGCAGTCGGAACCGAGGCCAGAGAGAGACTGGTGACGTCATCACACGACATCACTTACGTGAGATGATGTCACCAGAAAGAAGTCCCGGTGACTTCCTCAGGTGCAAAATGAAACCAAAAATGACGGAGGAGATACCGGCTTCCCAGACAACGGGGCTATGGCTAGGTAGGGTTTTTCCTTTTCTTCACTGCACTGTCTTTATAGAAAAGTAGACTTCAACCCAGGGCTACAGGGCTCAAAGGCCGCTCCCGCCCTGACGACTGAGAGGAACGACTTGTTTTGCAGAAAGCCGGGTCCCAGGACACGGAAACCGTGGTCATCAGTTACGTGGACGAGCCTGCAGCCGAGACGCTGGAACACACCGAGTTCTGACGTCACCGGGGCCTTCTCGGGGCAGCTCACACGCGGCTCAGAGACCAGAGCAGCCGCACCCCCGAGCACGTCCGCCTCCGGTCAGCCCACGCAGCACTGGCTCGGAGCGCTCCACCGTGGGACTCGGCCGTCAGCACACGGCACTGAGCTCACGCCAAACTCAGCCATCCGCACACAGCACCGGTTGCAAAGCTAATGCCAAACATGTGGACGTCTGGCAGTGCCCACTGGGCTGTCTGAGCTGCCACAGGTGAGGCTAAGCGGGACCTGGAAGTGGGAGCCCCTGCACCAATCTGGGCGGAGCTGCAAACTCAGGTCCACACCGCCTTCCCCAGAGCCAGACTCATGACGCCTCTCTTGAGGTTAAATACTTTTTTTTTCACATAATGCATGTGTGTGTGCACACGGGTGTGCTTGTGTGTGCCTGCCTGTGTCTGCGTGTATCTGTATGTATATGCACGTGTGTGCCTGTGTCTGTGCACACGTGTGTGTGCCTGCTTATACGTGCCTGTGTGTACATGGGTGTGCCTGTGTGTGTGTCTGCATCTATCTATGTGTATGTGTGTGTGCAACATGTGTCTGTGTACACATGTACATCAGCCTGCTTGTGCCTGTGTGTCTGCTTGTGTGTGTGCATGCCTGAGTGTGTGTGGTGCCTGTGTGTGTACTTGTGTGTGCCCCTGCCTGTGTCTGTGTGCACGTGTGTGCCTGTGTGTGCACGCCTGTGTCTGTGTGCATGTGTGTGCCTGTGTGTGCACGCCTGTGTGTGGTGCCTCTGTGTGCACGTGTGTGTGCACGTGTGTGCCTCTGCCTGTGTCTGTGTGCACGTGTGTGCCTGTGTGTGCACGCCTGTGTGTGGTGCCTGTGTGTGCACATGTGTGTGTGCCTCTGCCTGTGTCTGTGTGTACGTGTGTGCCTGTGTGTGCACACCTGAATGTGTGTGGTGCCTCTGTGTGCACGTGTGTGTGCCTGTGTGCACACAAGAGCACAATCATCACAGATGCCGTAGCCCTGATCCGGGGAGCGTGTCAGAAGCCGGCGACTTAGAAACGCCAGCAGCTGTGCCACCGCCCCACATTCCAAGTGAGCGCAGCACTGTGTTCCGAGGAGTCTGGGAGGCAGCCCTGTGCTCCGGCCACTGGGACAGCCCTGGGGCTCCGTCCACTGGGACAGCCCTGTGCTCTGGGATCGCACTGGACATCCCTGGTGCTCCATCCACTGGGACAGCCCTGGTGTTCTGGGATCAATGCTGGGACAGCCCTGGTGCTCCGTCCACTGGGACAGCCCTGGTGCTCCATCCACTGGGACAGCCCTGGTGCTCCGTCCACTGGGACAGCCCTGGTGCTCCGTCCACTGGGACAGCCCTGTGCTCTGTCCACTGGGACAGCCCTGGTGCTCCGTCCACTGGGACAGCCCTGTGCTCTGTCCACTGGGACAGCCCTGGTGCTCCGTCTACTGGGACAGCCCTGGTGCTCTGGGATCGCACTGGACAGCCCTGGTGCTCTGTCTGCTGGGACAGCCCTGGTGCCTCCATCCACTGGGACAGCCCTGGGGCTCTGTCCGCTGGGACAGCCCTGTGCTCTGTCCACTGGGACAGCCCTGGTGCTCCGTCTGCTGGGACAGCCCTGTGCTCTGTCCACTGGGACAGCCCTGGTGTTCTGGGATCAATGCTGGGATAGCCCTGTGCTCTGTCCACTGGGACAGCCCTGGGGCTCCGTCCGCTGGGACAGCCCTGAGCGTTCACCTGTGGGGCAGAAAGTCACTGGCCCAAGGAGGAACTTAGGAGACTCCTGCCGCCAGGGTCCTCAGAGCCCTTGTAGGTGGTGGAACAGAGGCCGCCCTGGGCTGGCAAGTTTGGAGGGTGCTCCAGGCCACCCCATCCGACACCCCAACCTGGGCGGAGGCCCTTCATCACAACACCTTCCCAGGCGAGTCTGCGACCAGGCCAGTCATGGGCTGCAGCTGGACCCAGGCACAGGGGTGCCCTGGGCAGAGACGGGCCGGGGCCTGACCAGTGCTGGTGGGGAAGGGAGGGGACTGTGAACCAGGTCCCACCGTGGAGCAGGCACGCCGCGCCCCGGCACTGCAGGGCTTGTTTTGCTGGTCAGCCTACAGCCACCCACTGTAACTAGCTCCAACACCGGCCCATGGCGAAAGGCACAGCGGCCATGCCAGCCCCAGCCACCGAGCGTGTCCCAAGTGTCCGAGTGTGTCCCACACTCCCCGTCTCAGCTCCGATCGCAAGGAGACTTCGTCGCTGGACCTGTTTCACAGGTGCAGCCACTGAGGTTCAGAGCACGCAGGACAGGGAACGGCATCACGAGGAGTTGCACACCAGGCCCAGGGGACCCAGCAACGTGGTGGTGGCCGCCGGCAACAGCCAATGCCTGCTCAGGGATCGCCAAGAAAGGCCACGGGACGCTGCAGTGACGGCAAACAGTGGCTTCCGGGGCACGCGGTCTGCGGACGTGGTGCTCAGGAACCCGCACTTCTAACCGACACCTCGGGTGGCGCATTCCCAAGCTTGCGCCTGCAGGGCCAGCTGGAGGCAGGGGCAGTGGCTGGGCCCCACCCAGACTGACTGGACAGGCTGCCGCGGCCCGAGAGCGCACATCTCCGGCCAGTTCCCGGGTGGACGGTCCCCAGACCACGCGTGTGAGTGTCCACATTTGCAAACTGACCGCAGAGCAGAAAGTGATGGCCAAGGCCGGCCACGCGCACTGCCCCAGCACAGGGGCCCAAGACATCTTTGCAAGGAGGACCGCAGCCCACTCCCTCCCCTCGGCGCTGGGAATTCACGTGCAGCTCAGGGGCCGGGCAGGGGAGACCGGAGCACGGAGCACGGAGCCCCTGCAGGCCCACAGCTCCACCGCCCGGCCCCGATGACACGCCAAGGCCTCCATCCGGTTGTGCAGCTCCGGGAGCTTCCATGGGAGCTGTTGGTGCGACTGATAAACCGTGGGTGCTGATTTATCACTGAACAAGGAGGTGTCTCGGAGTGGGAACAGAGCGAAAGCAGCAGTCGGCGGCAGGTGCAGAGGTGACGGCCTAAAGGGACAGGGCTCCGAGGTCACCCCGGGGGCTGCAGCCTCGCTGGCCTCGGCGTCTCACAAACCAAGAGCCGGGCACACGCGTTTTGTGACCCTGTTTCTGAAAGCCCGCGTGGCTTTGTTCCCAGTGGAAAGGGACAATGCGTGGTCGGGGCGGGAGGGGGAGTGTGCGCACTGAGTGGCATCGCACGGGCACCTCACGCCTTTTCCCCTGTTAAAAGGCGAACGCCTCAGACCGGTTACTTTTAGAGCAGCTTGAGCAAAACCGGACCAACTGTGCACCGGCAGCTCCGAACCAGAGCAGGTCCTGGGGATACCAGGATGGGCTCAGACGGCGTTTACAGCGAGGCCGAGGCGACTCAGGGACAACAGGCTGATGGGCCACAGCCCAGCCAACAGCCAGCCCTCTGGCTGCAGCTCAGCCATTTAATTAACTGATCACTCAAGTGGCTGCAGGGCCCTCTCCCTCCAGCCACAGCTCAGCGACTGTGATTAAACTCTGCATCGGTCTCAGCTGTGGGCCCAGGCCAAATCCACGGCTTGGCTAACACGGTTAAGTAGCCCCAGGCAGCCCCTCCCCGCCCCGCGGTGCTCTGCAGCCGTAGCCGCTGCACGGCACTGCCGGCCTCCACTGGAGCCCCAGATGCCTGCCTCCCCTGCTGTCCAGGGCCCCTGGCCACTCGCCACCCCGTCCAGCCAGAGCCCCTCCTAGCCAAGCTGTGCTGTGACTTAGGTCCTCACAGCCCAGGGCCACCCCCGGGCAGCGTCCCCACGCTCACTCCTCCCTGCGGGCGCCTCTGGGTAAGCTCTCCCCGTGGGAGAGGCCTCTGCAGCCTTGTGTTCGCGGTCAGCGCTTGGGTCAATTCCTGTCTGTCTGCCCTTGACCTCCAGCCGGAGTCAGGTCTCTGTGCTGTGCGGGTGCCGGCTGCTCCTCTCGTCAGCCGCGGGCCCTGCATCAGCACTGCCTGTCTCTCTCGGAGGGGGGCACTCCAAGGCCTAGGCCTGGGCCGGAACCGACTGCGGCCTGAGCTCCAGAGCGGAAAACGACGTTCGGTTTCCGTCCTCAAGAACCAGCACTCAGCTCCCTCCCACTGACCCCACTCCCTCCCTGGCCCAGGACCCCTGGGCTGACTCACGGCACTGGGCAGTGGCAGCAGCCGTCCTCACAGGGGCTGCAGACAAGAGTGGTGGCAGCAGGCTGCAGCTTGACCTCCCGCGTCCACGGCACCCGGCCCGGCCCACGCGCACTCCCACACAGGGCTCCGCAGGCCTGGGGGTTGCCGGGGCAACGCCGTGGCGTCCAGGTGCGTGGTGTCAACGTTCTAATACCTTTTCTCCAGGTTGCAGCTGCGTGGTTGGGTTTGACTCGCTTATTAAAGGCAAAGATCTGTCTGTACCAGGCGATACAGGACCCTGGGGTGGGGGGGACTGGAGACACCAACTGGAAGGCACTGCTGTCAGAGTTCAAAGGTCAACAAGGCCATTCTTAAAGGGCTGGAGTAAACAGTCTCAGCTTGAGGCCTGTGGGGTCTGTGGCAGGTCCTGGCTTTTGTGCAAGGGAAGCCTGGTTGTGTCCCAGGAAACCTTTATCTACAAACTACAGTGAGCCAGGAGTGGCCAATACTCACCTGTGCGGAGCTTACCGGATCCGAACATGTCGCACGTGGGTGCCGGTTCTGTGTTCTTGTACTGAAGCAGTCAATGCAACACCATCGCAATTATGTCCACCAAATAAAAGCATCCGGTTTTGGGGGACCGGCCGTGAGCGTCTGCTGTGTTTGCTGAGTGAGCTTTGGCATGGTTGATGTAAGAAACCAGGCCCAGCACCTGTCCACACTTCTGCCTGCCCGGCCGCCGCTGTTGACACAACGTCTGTTTCTGTGTGCTCCGCGAGCCTGACCCACCCCATCCCTGGCCCCGGACCCCGGGAGCCTCACCTCCCTCCTGTGCAGCACGGAGAGCGGAGGACAAGCGGCCGTTCCCACGGCAGCTCTGTGGCCTCGAGCATTTGCTGCTCAAGACAGATCCGTGGTGCATCGGGGTGTCGCTTCCCAGGGCCGTGCACGGGCGCCTGGCAGCAGGCTCATTTCCGTACCTCCGGCACGTTCCGGAATCAGCCCAGCCCCTGTCACCTCCGTGCCACGTGGCGTGGCCGTGATCAGCGCAGCCCCTGTCACCTCCGTGCCACGTGGCGTGGCCGTGATCAGCCCAGCCCCTGTCACCTCCGTGCCACGTGGCGTGGCCGTGATCAGCGCAGCCCCTGTCACCTCCGTGCCACGTGGTGTGGGCCGTGGAAGGTCCCTATGACAGCTGGGTCCCTCCTAGCGGCTCTCGGGGCGCCCTCGCCTGCAGCCTGGCTCTCGGGGCGCCCTCGCCTGCAGCCTGGCTCTCGGGGCGCCCTTGCCTGCAGCCCTGGCTCTCGGGGCGCCCTCGCCTGCAGCCTGGCTCTCGGGGCGCCCTCGTCTGCAGCCCTGGCTCTCGGGGCGCCCCATCATCTCACCAGCTGGGGCGAGGGGGCGACGCACACCACGCCGAACTCCGCACAGCAAACCCGCCTCACACCCAGGGGAGACCAGACCCCACACCGGCGAGACGCGGGGGTTGGACCCAGAGACGAATGACCTCACAGGGGTCCTGCGTTCTGCCTGCGTGGGGTTGCCAGGTTTCACAGATAAGAACGGAGGTGGCCCCACTGAATCTGAGCTTCAGGTAAACATCGCAGGGGACATACGTACGCTAGAAAAGTCCAAGTCCTGTATCTGACAAGTTCAACTTGTCTGCGGATTTTGACAGGAAGGCCAGAGTCTGAACAAACAGGACGTCGGGTGCAGCAGGCAAGCAAATGACGTCATCTGCGGTCAAATGAAAGAAGTGGCCGAGCCGGGCCACTCTGGAGCACGGAGGTCACCACACCTACCCACCTGCCCACCCCACATCCACCCCCCTTTCATGCATGCATGTGTCCACCCACCCACCCCACCCCCACCCACCCCCACCCATCCATTTACCCATTCACCCTCCCACTCACCCACCCACCCACCCCCACCCATCTATTTACCCATTCACCCTTTCAGTCCATCCATGCGTCTGCCATCCACCCATTCACCCTCCCACTCCCCCACCCCCCACCCCCACCCCCCAGAATCTGTCACTTTGCCACTGACGCTGCTGTGCCAGGCCCAGGATGGATGAACCGCGAGTGTGTCCCTGAGTGACTCGCGGTCCTGGGTATTAAATGTTTGTCCCCACACCACAGTGCTTGGCCACGTAAGGTTTTTAGGCAGCCCAGGCTCCACAGGCAAACAGAGGACTCCTGACCTGTGTCAGAGGGAGAGCAGTAGAGGGATGATTCAGCGCCCGTCAGACATCACCTGGGTGCCTCACATCCCATAAACTGCTTTAAAAAGCTCCTGGCATTTTAGTAGCTGATTCTGTGCTATTTAAGCGCTTTTTACAACTCCACATTCTTGGAGCAGATTTGCATAAGGGAAGGGAGTGGAGGATGCTGGGAAAAGGTTTACCATCACCCCCTGGGTGGAGACAGCTCAGACAGGAGGGCGGAGTAATTCAATGAATCCCTCTTAGGGCGAGGGCCGGCAGCTCCCAGGGCGGGGCGCTCACCCGGGGAGGCGGAGCTCCTCACCCAGGAGGAGGCGTGGCTCTGCACACAGGCCTTGTGCGTCCATGAAACCTAGATCCATCGCGAGAATCCAACTACCCCGCAGAGTGCAAGTTGCGTTTCTAGAGTGAAATCACAGGTGCATCTCACACACACACACACACACACACACACACACACACACGGGTGAGCGCAAGCGCAGGAGGTCAAACAAGCTGTTTCCTTGTGCTGCTCCCTTGCGAAAAAAACTCTCCCGTCCCGCCCAGGAGCACCACCCGTGGCCCGGGTCTGGCTGAGCTGACGCCTGCTGCGTGAACCCTGCAACTAGTCCCCACCCTCGGGACACATCAGTCTTCCCGCAACAAACCGTCCCTCCGAGGGGCACAGGGGGCCGTGGGCAAGACGCTCTGGCCGTGGGACCCAGCACGCCACATTCCCCGGGAGTTCGGACATCAAGCAGGGCAGAATCATGGCGGTTCGCCCCTCAACAGCACCCTGGACACGCTCTCCCGGGTTCGGAGGGCTCTGGCTCAGCACCAAGGCTTGGTCCCCAGTGTTCCCTGTGCTCCTGGGACCGCACCTGTGCCGGCCCGAGTTTGCTCTCCCTACCTGTGACAGCAGCTGATCCCGGCCTCACGACAGGTGATGGAGCGGAGGCTACAGGAGTCACAGGGCGTGCAGGGGGAGGCCAGGCCTCCGACACCGCCCCGCACGTCACACACGTGGCGACGCGGTCTCCCCCGTTGGCGTGCTCAGCACAGAGGCAGCCAACCGATGCAAATGCTACTGCGAGACCGCTCCGTCAGTCAATCAATGAGCATTTATTGCAAGGCACTACGGAGAGTCCATGGAAGAACACACCAGCGTCCCTGCCCCCGAGGGGCTTACAGTCTGCTGGGAAGACAGACAGGCAACACAGCAGCGCACGTCACAAAGCAGGGGACTGACCGCGAGACTGCCACACGCAGGAGCTGGTTGGTTGCTGACTGAGAGGCAGCGGCCGGGGTTGCAGCAAACGCAGGGGACTGAGCTGTGGCCGGGCCTCCCAGGTGACCGGGACAGAGCGGATCGGGTGGGTGCGGGGGTGGCAAAAGGCACAGAGGTGAGGCCAACGACAGCAAGCGCTGTTCAGGGGCCAGGGAGGGCTCCGTGAGGCAGGACTGGAGGCCAAGTTCAGGTTCAGTAGGAGGCTCAGCGGTCGGGTCTAGACCCCGCCCCTTTAGCAAAGGCTGGGGTTGGGAACAACAGAAATGCTTAGATTCAACACACGAATGACCTAGCTCGTCAAGAGGAAATACTCCAGGCTGGTCTTCAGGGCGTTTACGTGTGGAGTGGGGGCCTCGCTATTTCCAAAGAGGCTTTGGGATGGCGGCTTCAGGGCTGGCAGTTCTGAAGGAACAGCTCTGGGTGCGGGTGGCCCTGGGTCACAGCCGGGAGGCGTGGGTCCCCCGCAGAGCCACCGAGGCCCCAGCAGGCAGGCAGGAAGAACGCTCCCGGCAGACAAGTGTCTTTACAAACGACATCGTATTTATTAACAATACCTTAGAAAAGATTACATGTGCTAGATCCAGGGTCAACACCGTTACACGGGCAGTGGGGAGTACCTGGGGTGGCATTTTTTTTTTCCATTTTCTTTATTATTTTGTTGATTTGTGTGTGACCTCAAATTTTATTTCAACATAGAAGCAACTGTACCAATCCAAGAAACGAACACAGCGTGAAGTATTGACAATCGTTTTCCCCCGATTGCCACCCTAAATTTTTACACAAGTGGAAACCTGATTACGACTTCATTGGATAAATATAAGGAGAAGGCTGACAAGTTGTATTATTGGTAAGCAAAAATGACAAATTACAGGCAAATTTGAGCTCTCAGAGAAAGGAGAAAAGGTGGCAGCAGGTGGACCTCTGAATTCTGCCGTAGAGAATCTCATCGCCTTAGACGGCGCAGATGAACTGGTCAGTGTCGGCTCACAGAACTCCCCACCGCACACAGATCTCGCGAGAGTACAGCTTGGTCGCTGTTGTTGTTTCCCAGGTGTGAGCCTGAGACTAGGGGGCAGAGCTTACAGAGCCACGAGGCCGCTACAGAACAGGACCCTCACCGGGCACCGCGCCACCGTACCGCAGAGCTTCGGCGGGGTCCGGGCAAAATTCTCTATGGCAACTCTGTTTGCTCAAATGGGAGAGCTCTTCCAAGCGCCTCACTTGGTTCTGATTCCAAAGAAGGGCGCTATGAGCCCAGGGACACACACGGGACAGATAAGAAATTTTGTAAGGGAATCGCGAACCTGTTGACAGAGAGTGACTGCTTTTAAAAATCGACATTCGAAACAGATAGACCTGAAGACAGCAACGTCGTCCTTTCTCCTTGGTGGATACAGGGACTTCCGGTCGGTGTCACTGCAGGGTGACGTCACGGCTAAGGGAATGCTACGACGGAGACGGCCCGGACTCGGCTGAGAGACAAGAACGCCTTGGCGTGCGAGGCTGGACCTGCAGACGGCTGCCTCGCACTGGCATCTCAGCTTGCGAGGCCGCGGCCATTCCTGGGCTGCCCCCAGGAGTGCTGAGCCAGCTACGACGGGCGGGAGACCACCGCGTCCCTCCAGCACACAACCAGTCCCCAGGAGCCCCGGCCACCCGCAGGCCCGCGCCGGACTGCAGCCACTCTGCCGTTAGGTCCTTGTAGAACTGTACACGTGACCTGCAGCGCATCCACCAGGGTGAGTCTCGAACTTGGTCCTTAAAGGAAAAATCTGGAAATCATAATGTATGGTTGTGTTGCCCGTAGCATTTTATAGCAGAGGAAAAAATTAATATCTACATTATATGTTAACTTTAAAAAATTCTATAAAACACTAAATATATAATAAAAATATGCATATAAGGACATATGTAAACTGCTTTGGTCGCATCGTTCCGCGGATGTCTGCAGTGCGTTCCAGTTTCCGGGAAACTCAGACACAGCCAGGTTTGCCTTGAGGAAGTACTAGAGAACGCCATTCCTAAAGAAGCAAGAAACATTTTTTTTCCAGTAATAAGATGTACTCGAACAACGATAGGACTCAGCACTGGGCGTCTTCAAAACAGCTAGCTACGTGTCGCCTACGTCACCGCGGCCAGTCCTGCGGCCCCTTCGTCATAAGCTGGACCTGGCTGTGAGGGACAACATGATGGTGCTGATGGCCGAGAGCGTGCACGCGCTGGGAGTCGCGGCCCCGGATCCCCGGGCGTAGGCGTCTGCGGACAGAGAACAGAGGCACTCACACGCCGCCCGGCACCGGCGGGGCAGGGCAGGGCGTACCCCTCCGCAGCACCCCTGGGGCTGTGTCAGTAGGTCCCCAGGACAGGGAGCCGAGGCTGTCCCACCACACCCGGGGGGACGCTGCAACGTCAAAGCTGATGACTTACGACAAGGACGTAACAAGGTCAACCCCCACTCCCCTCCAGCTCTAGCCCTGCACTGGGCACAGACCCCCACGGCTGCTTGGCTCTCACCTGACCCTACAGGAGACACCTATAGGTGCTGTCACCGCCCCTGGCAGGGCCCCCTCGCCTGTCCTCGGCTGGACCGGGACTCAGACCCTTGTTGGAAACAAAACCTCAACTCCTTTTTAACTCTTCCAGTGGGTGGAGCGTGTTTTTCATAGTAAGAGGTCACCGGCTGTCACTCAGGGCTTCTTTGAGGCCGAAAGATCTCTGACCAACGTGATGGGGCAGAGGTAGGGTTCTCGGCCACATCCTCATCCTCCCGTAACCACAGCGAGATACTGGATTAGTGCACGTTTTTACAATGAACAAACCACTCATCATCACTGTGTCCAAAAAAAACCAACCAAACAAAAAACCACACCATCCTTGCAAGGATAAGAAAGTACAGAGCCAGATTTTAACAAGTGAGACAAACAGACCCCAAGCTCTGATGCTGTGAGCTCCCCACATCTGGCTCCCTTTCCACGGAAGTTGGGGTCTCCCTGGTGAGGCGAACAATCACACTCCCCACAGTTTTTGAAAACTTATTTGAAAGGGAGGGGAGAGGAGGAAGGGGAGGCAGGGGGAGGAGAGATACCTTCCGTCTTCTGGTTCCCTCCCCAAATGCCTGCAGGCACTGAGGCTGGACCAGGCTGACGTCGGAAACCAGGAACTCGGTTCCAGTGCCCACGTGGGTGGCAGGACCCGAGGACCTGAGCCGTCAGCTGCTGCTCCCAGGGCACACGCACCCCTGGCATCGGGAGCGGAGTGGGGAACAGAACCCAGGCACTCCAGTATGAGACGCAGCTGTGCCTACAGCGCCTGCTCCGTGCTGTGTGTGCCTTCAGTGTGTTTATGCAAAAAAACTGCCATAAACGTGAACTCCGTCTGGAGACACTGGCAAACCGCCCCCGTCCCTGGGACACCCCGTGGGGCCTCCGCTTCCTCTGGCATCCGCTCTGCCCGTGTGTGCTGAGCAGTTCCCAGCCAACCCCACACAGCAAGGCTGAGCAGAACTGCTCATCCGAGGCACCCGCACCTGTAGATGGAGCAGAAATCGTTTGGGGAGTCCTTGCTTGTGCCAGAGAGACAGAATCGGCCCTGTCCCCACCACCCCCCAGAAGCCGCGTGATGGTCGGTGGGCTGGGGGGCTCCTGGGCTGGGACTGACTCTGCTGGGACCTCAGACCCCCTCTGCAGGGACAGCCCGAGAACCGGCAACCCCCACACTGAGGCTGCCACCTGCAAGCTTCCTTTTGCATGGTGGTAAGACACACGGGACGAGGGCGTCCCCGCCGTGCTGGGGGAAGTGCACCTCCCGCCGCTGTGAGCCCTGCTGGAGAGCCCTGCCTGGCCCCAGATGGGAGGCCAGAGCCCAACAAGCTGCCCGCTCGGGCTCACCCGCCACTCACCTACCACCGCCGGACCTGCCTATCCTGGGATCACATAGCAACGAAGACACAGTATGTGGCTGGCGTGTTTGCAAAACCGAACCGCAAGCCTTTGCTACAAAAAATAGTCTCACCCATAATTCAACAGTACTTGAAAATGCAGATGCCTTGACTAGACAGCCACTGCACACCTTACACACGCCCACTAGAGCAGTGCCAAGTTCAACAAAGTGTCCACTCGAGACTGAGCGGCCTGCTTCCCTGGAACGAACTGCCCAGGCTTGCTGGTTCCTCCTGGCTGCGCCTGGCCCTGCCTCTGCTGGACCTGCGGTTATGACAGTGCCACCTGGACACCCTGCACGACAGACGTGGGGCTGCTTCGGTCTCATTTTTGATCAGCGACTGACTCAATCCGTCGCCTTCCCTGGCAGGGCGCTGTCCCCAGGCCCAGGCTCCCGTGGAAGCCTGCAGGACACAGCCGGGGCGGGGTGGGGGGGAGCCAGCCTTACTTGAGATCTTGGGAATTCGGATCTGCTCGCTGCTGCTGCCGTCGCCGCCCTCGCTGAACGGCCTGATCTCTACGATGTAATCTTCATCGAAGGGCAGGGAGAGTTCTACCGACGTCTTGTTCGTCTCAATGACGGACGTGCTGCTCTGCCTGCTCCACCGGTACAGGACCTGCAGAGACAGAGCCAGGTGCCGCCGGCTGCCCGCACGGAGGCCGCGGCAGGCGGCGGCGGCTTGCTCAGCCCTGGACGCCGGAGGAACGGGGGTCTGGCTGCCCCGTAGCTTTAGGGCTACTGAGGGGGTCGTGGGGCGGGGGTGACCATCTCGCAGGCTCAGCAGGTGCACCTGGAGGGACATGAAGGAGGCCTCCTCAAGGACTCACAGGGTCGCTCACACTGGGGCCCGGGCGCCAGGACAGACTGGGCCAGGCTGACTTCACTCCAAGCCTCATCTCCCTCGCCTGGGAGGCGGGGGCACTGCTATTCCTGTGTGGGCTGCATCTGGTGAGAGGCTGGCTCAGGGGGGTGTGTGAGAGCCCAGCCCACGGACGCACGCACAGCAAGGCTGGGAGCAGACGGCAGCCCCGGAGGGGCCCGCAGCACGGCTCTTCCAGAGGGGCACCTCTGCCCAGGGAAAGACCTCCTGCCAACAGGGGGTTCCTGGTTTTCCTTCGTGGGCCCTGGGCCTGGGCTGTGCTGTGGTCATTTGATGAGGCGGCCATGGAGTTCTCCTGAAAACAGTCACCGGCCTGGGACTGCCCGTTCTGGTGGGCTGATCGGGGAGATGTGGGAACCAGCACACAGAGACGTATTTGGAAAACACAGCTGAACACATGCTCAGAGAGACCAAGTGGTTCGCTGTGCAGGCTGGAAGCAGCTCCCAGCTCCCTCTCCAGTTTAGCCTGAAAGTTTCGTTCTCTTCCTACACAAACAGCAGTAGCCGCCCCCGCTCCTGCGCCACGCCCCACGGATCTTCTCTGGGAGGTCCCATGGGCCCGCGTCTTGGCCGGATTGATTCTGCGCTGCTCCATGTTGGCTAAGGGACTGGCTGAGCTGACAAACGTGCGAGTGGCCTTCAGGCAAATGTTACCAGGACAAGCGTGTGTGAGCTTCTGAGGGCCAGCAGGTGCACACAGCGGCAGTCGCTAGCTAACAATGGTTCCATCATGTGTCCTACAGTAATGCCCGTACCACTGGGACCCGGCTCACCGAAGCGAACTCCGGCTTGCACACTGACGCTGCCTGGGGAAGCTGAGGGCTCTCCCGCTCCCTCTGATGGATGGGTTGGGTTTCCATTTTCAGCTCTGTGGAGTGAGGGTCTGACGAGCTAACCCCCTGCCTGGCTACCTTGAACACTACTGCTGCCGGCTCCTGCCTGTCAATCTCACTTCAGCACGAGCTTGACCATGAACCTGAAATCCAGTCAACAGTTCTCCTGTGGAACACACGTGTTTGCTGGGGACAGACACCTGTGTTTCCACCGCTTCTGCGCTCTGCTCTCGCGGGGGATAATGGACAGCTGGGAGAGCACACCCTTGCCTGGTGTGGATAGAGCCATTGTGCCGCACAAGGCCATGGGCATCAGGCAGTGGGAGCCGAGTCACAGCTCCAAGGCTGCCAGCGTCCACCCTCACTCCTGCACTCTGCATTCACCTTCCAGTGCACCCAACCCTGGCTCCTTTTGTCAGAGAGAAAACAGCAGACCACAGTCCCTGATCCACACTGAGGTTCAGAGAGGAGAGCCCCACTCTAACCCAGCCGCGGTCAATTATCCTTGGCCGGAAAAATGCCCGTACGGTGACAGCTCAGGGCATCCACAGTCGCAGCCAACTTCAGTGTCCCAGCAAGATGGCAGAAACTCCAACAATCCAGTCAGTGCAGGGCGCTGGGGCCACCAGGGAAGTCTAAACTCAATCCTGAGATGAGCGGGGCTGGGGGGAGGAACAGAGGCATGGGGCCCCAGAGACAAGTGGGGGTCCTTTCACAGGGTGAGTGCAGCCGCACAGCGTCCTGGTGATCTACTGAGGTCACACAGCCAGCAAGGGACCAGACATGGCTCTAAAGGTGGCCAGCGGGGCGAGGAATGACGGTGGGGCGTCTCCAGCATCTCTGTCAGTGTCCGGGGTTCGCCCCTCTGCCAAGCAAATGCGCAGTTCCAGCTCCGCCCTCCTCTGTGTCTGTCCAGGCACCCCAAGATCTCTGACCGTGCCGACAACACCCCATCTCCGCTCCTCTCAGTAGTAGCTCAGAGGACACATTCAGTGTGCAAGGCTTGTTTGCAAAACAAAATAGGATGGGTGAGTTGCCAACGTTTCAGTACTGGAAGGTTTTACTTAATATTGCATTTTCTCACCGTCTCTGGAAGCACTGGGCCCTGTGTGGCACTCTGCCCACACGGGGGCGCAAGTGAGCAGCAGGTGCATCCTGGCAGCAGCACATGGCCACTAGGTGGCCCCAGCGTCCAGCCAGCTGTTTCTGCCGCTCCTGCTGGGAGAGGCGTGTTCCCAAGGCCCCTTCCTTGCTTTTGTTTGGGGTGGGGAGGGGGCGGTGAAAGACCCCTGCAAATCTGACTCAAAAGCCTGCCTCCACCTTGAAAAACAATTCAGAAATCACAGGCCTGGTTTTCTGATCTTCTTCCCTGGTGACAACGATGGGGCATCTTATCACGGAGACTTGGGAAATCTGCGGAACAGTGGCTGTCTTCTGCAGCATCAGGACAGGACCACCGGGGCCCAGCATCGTCCACGCAGCCCAGGGCGCTCCTCCCCCACAGCGTCCAGGAGCGCACGGGGAGCACGGTGCCCTGGAGCGGAGCCTGTCCGTCAGGGGCGCTGTGTGCAGCGGCTCCCCAGGGTGGGAGCCCTGCCCCTCTACTTGAACCACGTCGGTCCTGGAAGCTTCCACTCAGACTGGCGCCGTGCCAAGGTCACCTGGTACAAAGGCACTGTCGGGGCACTGACCGTCTCTCCAGGGCGTCTGGGGCAGTGACCCCACTTTGTGGGCTTGCTGAGCCTCTTTCCGGCTCCTCCATACACCCTCTGCTCCACCCAAGGCCCCCTCAAGCCCTCGCCCAGCCCCCACACCACTCCTTACACCACGCAGGAGCTGTCTGTCCCTTCACTGGGAACCAAGCTGCCCGCACCATGGCCACTGGCGGCCTTAGCTTGTGTCTGATCTGGCGGCTTCTTCCCCCCCATGGAAGCCAGCAGTTCACGTCAGAAGACCCCCACACTGTATGGGCCAAGTCACCCCCATGGGGCGGGATCGTGGGCACAGTGACCCCAGCCGGGCCAGCTGAGGAGCTGGGGGTGTGAAGACATGGCCCTGCCTGTCCTGGCCTGGTCCAGACCGCACCACCGGGACACATGACTGGTGCCGGGGCGGCGGTGAGGTGACAACAGGTGGCTCAGACCGAGCTGAGATATTTCCAACAGCAGCCGGCTGACTTCATCCACACTTGCTCTTTAAGGACAGGCCAATATTTCATTCTCTGAAAAACTCTCATTTCCGTGCCTCAGCATAACTGTGCCTCTCAACAGAATTTCAGGAGCGTTAGGAACACCGGGGAGTTACTGTGAAACACGACGGAGGCAGGAACCCAGCAAAGCCGACAGTGCAACAGCTAAAGGAGCAATTCCGCAGTGCTGAGTGCGCACGGCCACAGGACCTTGAACCTGAAGTTCAGGGGGTGGCTGACGCCTGGCCCCTGGAGCAGAGACTCCTGGGCTGGACGGGGAGCCCGGGGGCGGGGGAGGCTGGACGGGGAGCCCAGGAGAGGGGGAGGCTGGACGTGGAGCCCGGGGGCGGGGGAGACTGGACGTGGAGCCCAGGATAGGGTGAAACTTGACGTGTAGCTCAGGTTAGGGTGAAGACTGTATGGGGGAGTCCAGGGAGAGGGGTTAGACTGTACTGGGGAGCTCCTGGGGGGCGGGGGAGGGTTGGTCAGGTAGCCCATGGAGAGGGGGGAGAAATTGGACAAGGAATCCCTCGGTTGCCGTGAGAAGGTCTTGAACAGGGAGCCCTGTAGTTTGGGGGAAA